TATTTATCAAGTTAATGTTTTTCTATTCCTATATTGTACTATTGTACTAGCTTTTTAAAAAACAAGGATACACTTTTAATTCTATCAATTTTCTTTTCAACATCTCTTCAAATGATCTTTTATTATTTCTCATTTGAACTAATAATATGGTGAGTTACAAGAACAACTTTCTAATATTGAATCACTTTTCCACATCACCACAAATTCAGTTTGGACATATATTATTGTTTGTTATATTCTTCTTATATTTTGGTGGATTTATATTCACAAGTAAAATTCTGTTTATTTATTTTTAGGGGAACTATCTTTTTCAAAATTAACATTTCTCTGGGTGTGAGGGCGATCTGGCTGCAACATCCATCAACCCATTGATCGCCAGGGTTGATTTGGCTGATCTGGCTGGCTAGGCTGGTGTCCCCTTCCTGTCTCACTGCTCCATGTGTGTCCCTCCAGAAGCTGTGGGCTTGGTTGAAGAAGACCATCTCCTCAGTCAAGGGTATACAAGTAGCTGCGCTCCCCTGCTAGAACCTCCAAACAAGCTCTCAAAATTAACATTTTTCTAACTTCAAAAAATTGGGTAGCTAATCCCAGCCCTCCAAGAATTGAAAATTTGAGCCCAGCATAGGCAATGTAGAGACTTAGTAAGACCTTGTCTCTAAATAAAATTTTTTAAAGGGCTGAGAGTGTAGCTCAGTGTGAAGGACCTGGCTTAAATCCCCATACTGCATTAAAAAACAGAAAGTGGGTAGTAATTTTTTCTTAAAGCACTCAGTCTAAATCCCCGGGCCTCTCCATATGTTTTAAGCCCAGAATGCTCCCCTCCCCATGTCTGCTAAGATACTGTTGGCAACAGCAAAGCACCTGGCACAGCTGCAGGCCAGGTAGTGGGAAAGCAGCCAGCCTTGTAGGAAAGCTGCACAGGGAGGCAGCAAAGAGCAGGGGTGGGGAGGGGCGGGGACCTCAGCTGTCATAGCACACTTGCTTCTTTTCAGTGGGAATAACATATAGTGGTCATGTTTGTGAAGACAGATGTGCTTTACTTCTAGGCCTTTTGGTGACTAAGTTAAAAATAAAATGTGACTTCATATTACTATTTTCAGCGCAAATATAACATTGTAAATTCTTCAATAGACTTGTACTTTGATTTTGTATTTTTTTTCTTTCACGCTGAAAACCTCAGTCTGTAACAACATTAAAATTACTTATCTCTAATAATATATAAGATAATTTCAAAAAATAATTCTAGTACACATTATTTATTAAGATTAAGATTTTTTTATAATTCCTTTTGTAGTTAGATTATATTTCAATAATAAGTACAGTAAATGAAAATGCTATGTTTTAAAGACCCATGAAATGATTATTTTCTTCATGTGGTTATATGGCCAATTTGTTATACAATTAGGTTCACTTCTTACAGTTTTTAATTTCAAGGTTTCTTTTTCCTGTTTGACTTACTTACATGATATATTTACATGGTACAAAAATCAAAGAGGATTAGAAGGTTAATGATTCAAGTGTCACTTCCATTCCAACTGTATTCTTTCCTAAAATATCCCCAGTAGGTGACCATCAGTATTGGTTCCTGGTTTATCTGGTTCTTTTTGCAAACATGCACATGTGTGTTCTTATTTCTTCACACAGATCTCCACCAGGCAGTGTACACTATTATTCTGTCTGTTCCTTGCCTTCCCCCCTAATGTACTTGCCTAGAGATCTCAACTTTTGAGGGCACAGAGATTCTCATCTACTTCTCGTGGCTTTACGGCCCAGCTTACACGCACGAATACTTTGGTAGTTTGCAGTCTTGTGTTGTCACAAACAACACAGCCATTAATAACACTGTGCTTGGGTCATTTTGTCCCTGTGCCAACACAGCATTTAGATTTCTATTAAATGCAATTGCTAGGATGAAGTGTAAATGCAGCTGTGACTTGTTTCAGTTGCCTTTTAAAATGAGACAGTTTCTGATCTGAAGGCAATCTTTGCTTGTCACAGAATGCTCTCCTGTATACAATGGAATCATTCCTCCTACCTATTTAAGACCATAGATTAGGTCTTTACTTTTTCCTCATATAGGAAAAAGTAAATTTATTTTATATTTTTATGGATTAGACCAAAAATGTCCCTTAAAAGTCTCATGTGTACAGAGGTAGGGATTTTGGAAGATGGCTTTATCAAAAGAGCAAAAATCTTATCAGTGGATTAATCAATTGATTAGTTCACAGCTGTATGGTCTGTTAGGAGGGTCCTGCTTGGAGCAAGTAGGTCACTGGAAGGATATATCACCTCTTTGCTCTCTCTATTTTCTGGCTGCCAAGAAGTGAGCAGTTTTCCTCAGCCATACCCTTCTACTATGATGTTCTGTTTCACCATAAACATAAAAGCAATGGAGCCAACTGACAATGGACTGAATCTTCTGAAACTGTGAGCCTAAATAAATCTTTCCTTTGTTAAGTTATTTTACCAAGTATTTTGTCACAATGACAAAAAGATAGCACATAATACATAGTACTCTATTCTGAAGCCTCAGATACAACCTGTATCCTATTCTACAGTCTTTTCTCATGTTTGGTCATTGGTTTTGCTGTCTTCCTAGTCTTTGTGTGTGCATATTTATAACATTCAGGACCATCAGGACAAATGTAGGGTGCTGAGGAGTGGCAGGGGCCTATGCTTTTTCCAGTATTGACATTTCAAGTTTTTATCTTTTTTTAGAAATTTCTATCTCACTGGTATCTTTTAAACCATAAACAAAAATAAGAAGTCATGTTTTGTTTATTTTGCTTAATTGGAGATCGAGTTGGATGTGTGAGATACAGAAATCAATAGAATAGTTAGCAACTTTGCCCTGAGTTTCACACATTTCTGCTGCTTCAAGCAAGGACAGAGGTATTGAGTTGATTCCATTGTGTGTGTGTGTGCACACATGCGTGTGTATGTGTAATCACTCCCTGTCAACACCACCAGCACATTCTCTAACCCTTGCTAGGTGACTGTAATATCACCTCTGTCATTGCCATTACCACCTGCTGCCTCACAGCACTAATGTGAGCCCAGCCCCAGAGGTTCTAAGCAAATAGACCCAGCACAGAGAAGTGGAGTGATGCTGCCCTGGCCATGCAGGCCAGGAAGTGGGCCCAGGACTCAACCCTCCACGCTCTAGTCATGATTCCCAACCATGCTTGGGCCTCCTCAAACCCAGAAATGTCCCTTGTACCTCTGCCATGTGCCTGCCCATTGTCTGCAGCAGATACTTCAAATGTCCCTCCATTTTTAGGCAAGGCTGAAGATTGAGCCCAGGGCATCATGTGTACAAGGAAAGTGCTCTACCACTGAGCTGCACCCCAGCCCCTTTTTTAAAATTTAATTTTGAGATAGAATCTTGCTAAGTTGCACAGGCTGGTCTCAGGAGTGCCTAGCATACTTTATCTTCAGGCATGGCCCTCCTTCATGAGAAAACAGAAAGTTTAGAGATGACTTCAAGCTCCCTCCAGAACATCCTCCAGGCTTCAAGACTGCACCCTCCCTGTCCAGTTAGCTGAGAAGTCTTGAGGGAAGAAGTCCTCCCTAGGGTCTTGTTAACTGGGAACTTCTGATGTGGGGAGAGGGTGGTCCTATCTAAGTCCTGTAGCTGAGAAATCCAAGGCAGGGAAGACTTCCTCCCCAGGGTCCCTTAGCTAGGGAGTATGAAGGAGGATCACCTTCTCTGGGGTTCTGGCTTCAAAAGGGCATGAGAGGACATAGCCTCTCTTCTCTGGATCCCTGTAATCCCAGTACTCTGGGAAGCTGAAGCAGGAGGATAGCAAGTTTGAGCTCAGCCTGTGCAACTTATTAAGATTCCGTCACAAAATAAAAATGTGAAAAAGGGCTGGAGGTGTAGTTCAGTGACAAGATCCTGGGTTCAAACACCAATTTTACATTAAAAAATAAAAATAAAAACCTAAAGAGTGGATTAGAAGATCCCTGAGGACTCACACAGCCTTAGAGTCCCAGATCCTCCACGCTCATGCTGCCCAAGGGAGGGTCTGGGTTTGGGCTAAGGGCATCACTCTCTCCGTGCTCCGCTTCCTCTCTCTTCCACCAGGGGGAGCTACAAAACCAAGAGCTAGGCCAGGAAGGACTTTGAGCTCCAGGAGGTGGGCAGACTTTCTATACTATTGGGTGATTTCAATTTATCATGTTCTCTTATGTGGTCTGGAATGACCAAACTTGCATTATATTTTTCATGGACATTTATGTAGAAGAAAGCTGAATTTTAAAAACACTTTGTTAGATGTTCAAAGGAAGTTTTAATTTGCTAGAACTATAGACTTGAAGTGTTGGGGACTAGGCTATATAACTCAGATCTCACAGTCTCCAGGTCTGTGTTATCTTGCCTCAGGAAAAGGGAAGTATGCAGAAGGTCGAATGCCCCCTGGCTATAGGTGGAATGCTGATAACTGGGCACTCCTGAGGCACAACAGCACCTGCTGAGGATCTTTGTCCATATACAGGCATTTGGGTGTAGAGAAAATCTGTTTCCTCATTAATGTAATCCTTATCCACCCCTTCTCCACAGTTCTGTTCCACGAAACACGTGCTACCCCTCCCCATGCACTTCTCACTGTCTAATAAAAGTAGACCAACTGTGGAGTTCAAGTCTGTCTGCTAGAGGCAGGTCTCCCTTCCAGTCCCCTCCACCTTTTTTTTTTTGGTACCAGGGATCAAACTCGGGTCCTTGCGCTTGTGCAGCACGCGGCGAAACCACTGAGCTAAATCCCCGGTCCTAGTCCCCCCTTTATATCTTGAAAATTATCTCTGTCTCTTTTATTCCTTCCCATTCCCCCCAAAAGGTAGCTGAGGGTCTGATTAGTGCTCAGTATTTCAATACAGAGCAGAGTGGTATTTTCTGCTCCTACTCATGACCATGTTGCCAGAATATGAACCAAAACATTAAATAGAAAAATATAAAGACACTACAAGTCCCATTTGTTCACAAGAACAAAACCAGTTTCTACCTGCTCCAACTGGATCTCCTGGGTGGCCTTCTCTTGGTCTTCATGGATATGAAGATGGCTATCATGGTGCTGCTTCCCATTGGCCTTTTCAGGTAATCTTTCAAGATTCATGACATCCTATGTCAAAAGAAAAATGGGTATCAAAATGTGGATGGGGATAATTTTATAGAGTTTGACACTTTTTACCATTATATTCTATAAATTTAATAATGTCTGTTAAATGTCCCTGTGGCTGGGACTGCAATTGGGGTGTTTAGCTTGCCTTGCACACCCCAAAAATGTGGGCTGAATGAATAAGCTGACTCTGAAACCAATTATAAGAGTGAATAGAAAGCCCTTTCCCAAAGAGAGGTGCCATCTACACCAAGTCCTGCATGAGCCCTGCAGATACCAGTGCCACAAATTGGCCATCTCCCAAGCTTGCTGAGGACACAGAATGGGAATAATTGCTTTATAGAATAGAAAGGCTTTAGTGAGAAGGAGGGACATAATGAACTAGATAAGATTATCTAAAGCCCACTGCATTGCCACTGGAGAGGAAATTGTCTTTCCTTGCACAGTGACACCAGACCCTCAGCAAAGGGAGGACTCATGCAACCAAACCTGCCACTCTTTGGCTGCCAGGAATTCCACCACCCCAGGCTCCTTCCCAGTGCTCTTGTTCTGATTCTTGGCTTTGCTCTTTGAGCAGCACTCTGGGGTTTCTGTAGCTGGGTAACAGGGCTGAGAGGTGCTGGGTAGGGGAGAGGGTCATGGTCAGGTGGTTGGTCAAAGGCACTTGGAAACCAGCCCAAAGGATTCCTGAGCCATAACTTATGAAAAAGAGAACCAAACATCACAGGGCCAAAGACAGTTTGACAGACAGTATTTTTCACGATTTTGTCCTTATTTTTCCTTGTCTTTCTCCATGGGCCCCTGTATTAATCTCTTCCTGAGGTCAGCAGAATATTTTAAAACTTGATATACATAATTCACATGCCCAAATTCACCCTTTTAAAGCATTTTTTTTTGTGCTTTTGCAGAGCTGTGCAGCGGTCACCACAGTCAATTTTTTAACACTGCCTTTGCCCCAAAGAAACCCAGTACTCATTGGCAGTTGCTCCTTGTTCCCTCCTCTGGGCACTCAGAAACTGCTAATCTGCTTCCTGGCTTTAGCTGTGTCACTCAAATTCACATGTGAAAGCCCTAATTCCAGGACTTCAGAATGTGACTGTATTTGGAGACTGGGCCTCTCTCTTTGAACGAGGTGACTAAGTTAAAATAAGGGCAGTTAAAATAAGCGGATGGGTCTTAATTTACTCTGGCAGGTTCCTGAGAAGAAGAAATTTGGTCACATGAACAAAAATGAGGGTTGTGTGTGCAGAGGAAGAAACATTTTGGTCATCCATTCATCAATAAATGGACATTTGGGTTATTTTCACTAGCCATTATCAATAATACTTCTATGAAAATCATATCCAAGTTTTTGTATGAACATTTATTTCAATTATTTTGGGGATATACCCAGAAGTAGAATTTCTAGGTATGTAGTAGCTCTACATTAACTTTATAAGGAGCTGCCAAACTGACCCCGAAAGCAGCTACACCATTTCACAAATGCACCAACGCATAATGTCCCCAGTTTCTCCACATCCTTACCAATATCTATTATTGTCTTTAAAAAAAAAATTATCTGCAGGCTGGTGAGTGTGAAGGGGTAGCTTCCTGTGGTTAGGGTAAGAATGGCTAACATAACAGTTTTTTTCTGTACCCCACTTCCAAGGTTTGTACTTTTCATAGACATTGGAAACATCACTAACTGTACAGCCTATTACTGAATATTGTATGATGGTTTGATTATGGTCCAATCACATTTGCACCATTGAGCTTGTCTAAGTGTGCACTTCTGCATATGTGTACTTGTGCGTGTGTGCTTGTGTGTACATACATGTCCGTATATATGTGCATGCATATTGGTGTTTATGTACATGCGTGTGTGCATATATTTATGTGTGTACATGTATGCTAGTGCCTTGTGTCTGCACTCATGTTTGCACACATTTGTGTGTGTATGTATGTGAATTTCACGTGTCACAAAGAAACATCAGCAAATAGTGCAACCTGCAAAGCATGTGGAGGAAGAATAGCATCTGCACAGCACAGACCCTGGAGTGGGCTGTGCACTTCCAGGCCCTCTGGCAGGAGCGAAATGTGCTAGGGAGAGGCCCTAGTGCTAAGTTCATCTCTTCAAAGCTGTGTGCTAGGAGCATGCAGCTCAGGAGAAGCCCAGCCCACTGGAACATTGGTGTATCCTTCTATAGTCATGTATTTAAGTTCATGTTAACTGAGAGGCAAAACTGCAACACGTAATGTAAGTCTGAGTCCCCTCTGCTCAATGAGGCACATTAATTAGGACAGTGATTTCTAAATATCAAGTATGAAGCCACTCTTGATTTGCATCAATTGAGTGAGTGTGGCTAGCAATCTTTTAACATGAGAGAAGAGAAAATAATGTAAATGTATTCTATATAACATAAAATAAGATATTGCATTTTATATAGTAAACTAAGTATTACTTCATTAACTTTTTGTCACACACACACAAACACTTGATCACAATGGAATGCACATTTCTTACCAGGGGTTACTGTCAAGGTCTGAAAGCCATTCTACTTCTGGAAAGAGAAGGAAAAGCAAACACTTTCTTCCCAGGGAACAAAAGAGCATGGAGGAAGCAGGTGAGACCCAGTGCTTCAGGAATCAGCAGGGCTGGGGAGAAAGAGGTAATGAACGGGGCTGAGCAAAGTGTGCTGTGGGCAGGAGCAGGCACAGTGCACCAGCCCAGCCCAAGCTTGTCCTGGAACTGACCAGGGATGGTGGTGATCACCTACTAGAGAAGGTGGTCACATAGCAGAGGCCAAGGGGATGCTGCCTGCATGGCTTGGTGCTGCACGTGATGTGGTGTCTTCGCTTGTTGCCATGGTAGCAGCCTCCTGCTTCATCCTTTCCTCTGCCTGAGAGGACTGGCTGAGCTACAGGCCCTATGCAGAGCCCCCTGCCCAACACCCACACACCTGCCGAGATGGAAGCTGGATGGAGCTGCGTGGCCCAAAGCAGCACCTGAGTGAGCGGTTCTGACCAGCAGAGAAAACTCAGGGCACCTTTTTCCTGTGGCATTGAGAAACTTGGTCAGGGATAGACAGAGACAGATGGAGAGAAAGAGTCCTGTTGCCTTGGTGATGAATGAACCTCAGATCAGGACTGGAGAACAGATTCAAGGTGAGGCTGCACCCCAGTGACGATGAAATGACATAAAGTAAGGGGCTGGGCTCACCCAAGGGCACTATTCAGGTAGAGAAAAGGGCCATCAACACACCCCACAGACAGCCGGGGAGGCGCTACCATCAGAACATGGGCTAGTTTGGGCAGGAGTCAGGATTTCTACCCAGACTCAGCTTCATCTGAGTTTCATAGTATCTGTATGTTGATCTTTCAGTCACTGAGAAAAGAAAAGTGAGATTTTTAAGAACAAAAATAGCAGAAGGCGAGGAAGTTAAGAAGACCACATCCTGTGGTCTGTCTGTGTAAGACTAGTGGTTTTTATGCCCTTTATGTTTTCTTTTCATCAAACATTGAATCCTTTTTCAGTGAGTTCCAGGGACCCTCTAAGCCTACAACAAGACTAGCAATTAGAAAACAGTTTCTTAAATGGGAAAAATATCTATTTCCCTGTTTCTTATTGTCTATCTTTTATTCTGCTCTTAAATGTATTTATACTCTGGGTGTCTCAGATAAGAGAAACCACACAATATTTAAGCTTATGTATCTGATTTATTTCACTTAACATTATGGATTCAAGGTGCAATCAATTTATCCTTCTTTATACCTGAGTAGTACTCCACGACTGGAGTCATATGGGGGGAGTGGGGAGAAGACGAGGGGAAGGAGATGTGAAAAGAATTAGGATGGACCGTGTGCACAGACCAACTCCCCACAACGCGTGTATATATTATGTACCACAAATGCATACTAATAAAAAGGAGAGGACAAATGGACAAAATAAGCTGTAGGCAGTGGCATGTGCCTGTTCTCAGCCTAAAACACCAGTGGCATGAAGAGCAGAGGACAGGGTGCCACCTCCCAGTTTAGCATCCCTAGAGAGACAGAAGGGAAACTGAGAACCTTTTTCTTCACTAACTTTCCTGAGGGATCCTTTTGGAGGCACACGATGCAGAAGGCTTGATCTATTTCTGAAGCCTCGCACTTCTCTGTCCCATCAGCCCTTCCCATTTTGGGAACCACTGCCCTCATTGGCCCAAACTCAGACCCCTACTTCCCTCCACTGCCCAAAGAAATAGCCGATATCTTGCCCACTGGAGGTCGAGGAGGGCCAGACTGACCAGAGAGCCCTGCTAGGTCCTCCTGGGAGGCCCAGGCACTTTTCACCAAATCTGTGAAGAGTAGGTAAGTGCCCTATACCAGACCCTAACTGAGGCTCACAAGACCCCCCACAAGTGCATCCCAAATACCTCTCTCTTGCCACCAGCTGGGTGACCTTGTCCCTTTGTCTCGGGAAGGAATTAAGAGTCATCCTCTCTGAAAGTTCCCTCCTGTGATGGTCAAGCTTGATTGTGTCAGCTTGATTGGCTTGGAATCCACCCTGGGGATTGATGCAGCACACTTCTGGGTGTGCCTAGGTGGGTCATAGAAGTGTGATTATGGATACCATATCTACATCCTTACCCTTTCCTCTCTGGCACTGTTTCCCTGCTCTGCTTCCTGGCTGCCATGAACTAAGCAGCTTTGCTCCACCATGACTTTCTGCCACAATGTTTCTGCCTTGTAATCAGCTAACCATGGACTGAATCCCTCGAAACCATGAGCCAAATCAACACTTTCCGCCTTTAAGTTGTTGATGTTGGATATTGTGCCCCAGCAGTGAGAAAGCTAATGCATCTCCCAGAATACGACAGCTACCATCTCCAGAGACCTCCATGAAAATGTTGTCATTTGCCCGCTCAGAGCCCAGGCTGCTGCTCCTTAGACTCACTACTCCATGTGGAAAGTGGCCTTACAGTGCCTGTGCATTCCTACATGGACCTTTCAGAACAGAGGAAGAGTCCATCTCACTTACAGAGAGTGACCTTGCCCCACAAACTCACCAGCCACCCACAACATTCCTTCAGGGCAGAGGAACTGGGATGCTGCAGGAACAGGAGCAGCCATGGGAAAAGAAATGACAATTATTGCAAGGGTCAGTTATGGAACTGGCCAGTCCAAGTTCACAGGGTCAGTGATATCTGGGCCACTTCCAGGACTCGGCCCTCCAGCCTCTCTCCTGCTCTGTGGAATCTGCTGCCCTTTCCCCCTCCTCCATCTCATACCATCTCTGCCACGCTCCAGAAAGTACCCTATGTGGTAGAGGAGGTTCTACACACCCCATGTGGTATTGTGGGTCTTTTGCTTTTGCTGGGATATTGATGGTTCCATAGGATTGAGTTCAGTTTTTTTTCAAGCACATAAGAGATTACATGTTACTGTACCAAATTATAGCTGTATTAAAATAAACATTCATATTTCATCTCTTGAAGACTGACAACTGGAGAAGCAGAAACCACTGGATGCCCAATCTATGTCCCTCCCCATGGCCAACTCTCTGTGATCTGGTAGGGGTGGGGGGACCTCCAGACATGTGACTTTCCCTAGACTTCCACACACTTTTCTCCATCCCGAACCTGACCTTGCTGAAGACCTGTTGTATGACCACAGTTCCAAGTAAATGACATGGAGGAGAAAAGGGAGGCATGCCAGCCTTCTGGAATTTAAATGTAGTTACTTATATTCTCTTTTGCCTGTTTTCAAAAGATTACCTGATCCTGAGAGCTGTATGGAGGGCAGCTGTTCAGGAGAGAAGGGAGCGCCTTCTTCAGGTGACAGTGGGGACCAGCTGCCATGTCCAGACGGGGGCCACCACCACCTGTGGTGAAGATGGAGAGGGAATCAGGACTAGGAATTTCAGAGGCCATCTCTCCCAGCTGTGAGATCCCAGAGCCGCAGAAGAGCCACTTGGGGGACCTAGGCAGGACACTGCTGGGTGGGAGGGGAGAGAGCATTTGACTGTCCTTCAGGCAGCAGTGTCTTTCCCTGTGGACAATCACAGGCGTCAGAATTCTCTGAGTTTGAAAATTTATTAGATTGCCAACTCCTCTTCTGAACCACCAACGAAACGTTTAATAGCAGTGCATTTTCCTGTAATGTAAGGTATGGTCCCTGAGGGAGGCGCTTTGAAGATGGCATTAGAGCAGGAAGGGGTCTGGGGTTTTGGGCATCCCTGAAGTAGTGAGGAGTTTCAGGAGCCCCTTCAGCAAGCACAGGGCAGGCCCTGCAGAAGAACCTGCCCCAAGAGGCTCCATGAACGCTATGAGGCCCTGGGATGACAGGAAGAACCCTGGATGGCAGAGCCCTGGGTTCAGCTCCTACATGGCTTTCATTAGCTGTGACTGGTCACTAAACTCCAAGGCTATGTGGTTGTCAAGTGGAAGAAGGAGGTGTGTATGACCCTCAGGGAATTCTCTGCCCCCATTCAGATCTCTAAGACCTGAACTGGGGCTGGGGGTTTGAGTCCTCCCTTAGGACCCTCGATCACATCTTGAAAGTATGAATCCCATCCAGACCCCAAGCCAGCCCAGCTACTGGCCTCTCTCTGTTCCTGTGTAACTCACACCCCTCCCGCAGCCCCTGAGGCTGCCTTGGACATCTGCCACCAACTCTGAAAGCCAGAAAGCATCTTCCTAAGGGGGTCCTGGGGGCCCTCACCTATAGAAACTAAAATTTCTCTGGATCTCCCTGTCCCCTTGCCTTACACTTCAAATGTGAGTGTTCCCAAGACCTACATTTCCCAGTTTCTCCTCTACAAAATGATGATAAGGCTTGGATTGTAAGCTATGGGTCGTGTGGATATCAATAAATAACTTACAGTGCAACTCCATAGGGAAAGGAGGAAGGAAAGCCTCAGGACTGCTGCCCACCACAGATCCACCCAAGAGCCAGGGAACACAGCCAGCCCGCCAAGAGATCCTGACTCATGGGGCAGCTAAAGCCCCACATAGTCTCCAAGAGTACTTAAGAATGTAACAAATCTCTTTTTTCCTCAATCTTTTTCATGAAAATTGGAGTAAAACAATCTGCTCTCTGTTGCTATATTTACTTTTGCAAAATAAACAAAGCTCACCAAGTACCAAACACTGTCCAGTTTGTTTGTCCCCGGGGCTATTGTAAATGAAGTAGCCCATAGCTGCCTCCAGGCTGCCTCAAATTTTAAGTCCTTTTAGGTTCCCTGAGGGCCCTTCCTAGACCACCAAGGTGTCTGGGAGGCCCGGAGGAGCTCAATGTCCCTGGCTACCCCCTCCTCCACTCCCTTCTACCTCCTGCCCCAGCTCCAACCTGGACTCTCCTGCTCCTCTCCATCTGCCTCACCTGGGGTCACAGGACTCACCACAGGCTTCACATTACTACTGGTTGTCACAGCACAGATACCCTGACAACCGCCTGGCTGCTAGATAACAGACTGCTCATACTTCTGACCAGGAGCTGCCTGACTGCTTCTTGCCTGAGTGGACCGCTCTGCTCCAGACTCTCCTGCCCTCCTCAGATGCCTTCTTCCAAGAGGGTTGCTGGAGGTTCTGGGACCTAATCTTCACTGCAGCTGCACTGCCTGGAAGTCCGCAGGCTCTGGCTCTGGAAACCACATGCATGACCTACGATGCTCAGAATTATACTTAAAAGTACCTAATAATACCTACACAGGATAACTATGGAAATAGAAGTCATGTTCTGTGTAAACATTTCAGTCATTTGGTTTCCTTTTCACTGCTTTCAGAGTCAGGCTCCTGGCCCTGGCTGAGCATGAGGGAAAGTTGAGGCTGAGTCCCCTCCACATGGAAGCATGTGCCCAAATGGAAGGAGCAGGGTTTTGTAGGGGGTCAAGGTCCTTGCCTGTTCCTCTTAGGTGCTGCCTGAACCACACTTGCTTTGTGTTTCATTTCCCTCGTGGCCACATGGCCTGGCACAAGTGACCACTGTGACGTCTACTCACAGGACTGCACAGAGGCTTAGGTAACTCTGATGTTCTCCACTACTCAGTTATATGGTTCAAAAAAGAATCTGGTAAGGTCACATCCTTTCCAAAAACAAAAAATTTGCCTGATTTATGCATTTATTCTATTTACATAAAAAGTTAAAATGCTTTTTCTGGTTATTTTAAACTCAACTTTATCTCAAAGAGTATTTAAGAATGTAGTAAATTTGCCCTTTATCCTTGAATCTTTCTTTTTCTTTTTTTTTCTAAGACAAAATTTTCCTATGTAGTCCAAGCTAGCCTCAAACTCCTGATCCTCTTGCCTCAACTGTGCCAGTGCTAGGATTCCAGGAGTGCACCACCACATCTGGCTTCTTGAATCTTTTTTAAAATGAAAATTAGAAGACCATAACAATAAGCTCTCTGAGAGATGAACCTGTATATATGTTTCCTTCACTATAACAAAATACCCAAGACAATCAACTTACAAAGAGGTTTATTTTGGCTTATAGTTTTAGAGGTTGCAGTCCATGACAGGGATGGGAGAGGGACATTATTTTTAGGCCACTGGTGAAGAGCAGATGTTGGAGCAAACTCTTCAGTTGGTGGCCAGGAAGTGGGAGAGGAAGAGGAAGGGGCTGGAGTCACCTGCAAAGGCTCACTTCCAGTGACCTAAGGACTTCCCACAGGGTGTCACCTCTGAAAGGTTCCACCACCTCCTAAGATACCACACTGGTAAGACCAACACATAGGCCTTTGGGGACATTCAAGAACCAAACTCTAGTGTATCTGAGGAGAAGCAGCAAACCTCATCCCCAGCATAGCAGGAACAGCTGAGCTGGATTCCGGGGCAGGAGACGGTGTCTCTCAAAAGGACAGACAGCTTCTCTGTGCTCTCACATCCAGTGACTCAGGAGAGATGCACTCACCAGGACTGGCACCGAGAGGAACACACTGAAGTTACTTCCTGCCTTTCTTAATGTGTTTACTTCAATACTAAATACTTGATAAATGTTAGTTATCATTGTCATCTTTCATCTACTAAATAGAAAAATGTTTAAAAGAAGTTGTGGTAAATAATCAAACAAAAAATACAACCCATCACCTCACAAAAATAAAAAGGTTAACTTTGCTACTGATCAAAGAAATCCAATGAGATGTCTTTTTATTGTTGTTGCCTACCAAATTAACATTTTAAAAAATGACAGTCCTAAGTGTTGCTGGGGTACAGGGGAAGGATGTCCTCAGAGACCATGCTGTAAGGCAGGTCACTAAAAGCTTTCCAGGGGAAAAGTCATTAAAAACAATCCAGTGTGTTTGTGTTGTGGACTCCCTATCCCAAGAAGAGCTGGACACATGCAAAAATCTGTATGAGCATCAGTGTCCACGGAAGTGCTATTTATAATTCATAAAAACATAGACACAGGCCAGGGGGCACATAGGTATTCCTGGTAGAGGGATTTACATGCCCCCAAAAGGGAATGCAAGACAGATGTTAGTTTAGAGAAGTTATTAAATATATGATGGTAATGGTGGAATAATGCTATGGAGCCAATAAAATTGAGTAGTAAAAATATTTCATAATGTGAGATATTCTCATGTGGATTTTAGCAGCACTCTTATGGACACAAGGACACTATAAGGGATATACACAGAGGACAGAGAAGGTGATATTTAGAGACTGGAGTCACAAATAGCTTTCATCTTCTACTTTATACATCACAGTATTTTCCCAGGCTTTTTACAAGCAAGAAAAACCCCAAATTACAAGGGGTAAGATACAGTAAATGCTTAAATGAAAAAAAATACTTATCACATTAAAAGACACACTGCCAGCAACAATAGGATGAGTGCGTCTGAAGCAGGGAAGACTGTTTTGAGTATTTTGAGGGGGAACGAACGGCAATGTGTCTTTTACTGTAATCAAATTTTTAATTTGATCATTCACCATATTTTATGATCACCTCTTATTGATCAAATGTTTATGGCAATTTCTGTCAAATAAAAACACTACAGTGTGTCCTTATCTACCCTACTCACTGGATCTAGTACTGTATAACTTCTGTCAATTCCCCAAAGTGTGAGAAACGCAGGTGGGAGTGCATTCTGTGCCATGGCGGGCACGGGGTTGGTGGCCAGAGAGGTAGTGGTGGATGCGCTGCCCTATTTTGATCAAGGCTATGAGGCACCAGGCGTGAAGGAAGTGGCTGTGGCTCTGGTAGAGGAGGAAACTCGCAGATATCGACCTACCAAGAACTACCTGAGCTACTTAACAGCCCCGGATTATTCTGCTTTCGAATCTGACATAATGAGAAATGAATTTGAAAGACTGGCTGCTCGACAACCAATTGAATTGCTTAGTATGAAATGATACGAGCTTCCAGCCCCTTCCTCAGGTCAGAAAAATGACATTACTGCATGGCAAGAATGTGTAAACAATTCTATGGCCCAATTAGAGCACCAAACAGTACGAACTGAGAATCTGGAGCTAATGTCACAGCATGGATGCAATGCCTGGAAAGTATACAACGAAAATCTAGTTCATATGATTGAACATGCACAGAAAGAGCTTCAGAAGTTAAGGAAACATTTTCAAGATTTAAACTCGCAGCGGAAAAACATGCAACTCACAGCTGGATCTAAATTGAGAGAAATGGAGTCAAATTGGGTGTCCCTGGTCAGTAAGAATTACAAGATTGAATGGACTATTGTGCAACTAGAAAATGAAATCTATCAAATTATGCAGCAACAGGGAGAAGCAAACAAAGAAAATATCCGGCAAGACTTCAGAAGAGACTAACTTGCTGAGTAGAAAGGAAGAAAAGTTGGGCTCTTACAAACATCAGCCATCTAAACTATCTCTGAACCATGAAGGACAACAGCCTCTCACAAAAGCCGTT